CATGAAACCACTTTTGGCATGGTTGTTAAAACTCTGAATTGTACGGACACACTATAAATCAACCTTAAAATTCAAATCATTCCAAAAAGTTACTGACTCATTTGAATCACTAAACATTTAAATTTGCAAAAAAGTTCCCAATTGTTTTGAGTTTGATGCTAGATGATTTCATAAAATGCTCTAGCTCATTTTTTCACGCTAAAATTAAAAAGAATTACCTTCTTTTTAGGATGCAAGACTGAATTTTTTCGAGAGACGCAACAGGTTTTTAAGGAGAAAAAACTGTCAATTTAATCCTATCGTGAAAACTAGAGAACACGAATCACCTTTTAAATTTAAATGAACAAAGTAGCACAAGTACTTACTACCAGTAGGAGGACTATGAATCAACATCCATAACAAGAGCCATAGCAAATTATGGGAAACAAAGCATGACAAAATTTTGTTGATTTTGTTTGCACATGCAAGAACAATCAGACCATAAATCGCAATACTTTAAAAAAAAAAAATGTTAGTAGATCATAGATAATTTTTTTATGTTGTTTGCGAGTAAATGCAATAGCCATCTTCCCCCCAGACGAACTTGCTCTCGCCTTTAAAAGAAGTAACAAGAGATATATCTAAATGAAGGAACATGAACAGCGTGGAACATACCTTGATAAGTTCAATTCTTCATGCTCTTAATAAGTCTAGCACCAACCCGATCAAGTTGCTTCACATTTGCACAAGCCTTCAAATTTCCCTCTTTGAAGAAAGCCTCAACCATATGTTTCCCAATTTCTTTCCCTCTCTCCTCATTATCCGTCACTGCCACTGCTGTAGGACCAGCTCCACTGATGGTACATCCAAATGCCCCCGCCTCTAAGGCAGCTCTCTTCACAGCCTCCATCCCAGGTATCAAAGGAGCACGCCTGGGCTCAACAATCTTATCAGATGATAATGCCTTCCCCAAGCCCGCCAAATCCCCTTGCAACACTGATGCCACCAAAGCCCCTGCTTGGCTAGAGTTCCACACATGGTGTGGCATGCCAATCTCAGCTGGCAATGCTGCTCGCATTTTCTTCGTAGGTGCTTCAAAATCAGGACTTACCAATACAAAAACAAATCCTTCTCACTTGGAAACTTCAGTTGGATCAAATCCAAGGGCTCATAACTGCGAATTAACACAAAACCACCCATGATAGCTGGTGCCACATTGTCAGCGTGATAACCTGAAACCTTCTCTTCTGATTTTAAGGCAGCAAGAACCAGCTCCTCGACACTCAACTGATTACCAAAAATCTCATTCACAGCAACAGCAGCAGCTGCCGCGCTAGCAGCACTGGATCCTAGTCCGCTTCCCAAAGGCAACCCCTTCTCAAGGGAAAGAGAAAGACCTACTGACCGAATACCGAGCATTTTCATGACTTCGATAGCGGCAATCCCAGCACAATTCCATAGTGGATTCTTGCTCAGCTTTTTGGCATTGTCACCAGAAATTTCAGAGATAGAAATCTCACCAGGGTGGACATTAGAGTCAACGCTTAGGGAGACAATATCTCCGAGGCCATCAACAGCACAGCCTAGGAAATCGAATCCAGGACCAAGGTTAGCTATGGTGGCTGGAGCAAAGGTTTTTACAGAGGCAAATATGGGATCAGGCTCGGCAAGGGATAAGGTTGTCCTAGAGGGGAGAGACAAGTTGCATCTTTCGAGAGTCTTGACTGATGACATCTCAGTTGACTGTGGGGTCCAGAGTTTTGCTGGAGTGTAGTAGCAGCAGCATATTGCCATTGCAGAGTTTGATACAAATACGGCCACTGAACACTGGTCTAACTCTTCAACGCCTGTAATTATGAATAGAGTTAAGGCGGGGAGTTGGTTCCAGTCTATCCCTACAATTTTAACAAGTTGTGTTGTTTATGCATCCAATTTATTTCTTAGATTTTGCGTATTTCCCTTTGTCCTTTCAGCAACCATAATATCTATGAAAGCTTTACTTATTGAATGAGGCCATATCTTTGAATCACTTTCCATCTATTGAAACATGACAGTTAGAGCAAATTACAGCTCAAATCAGTCTCTAGATTTATTCAACCCATATACATGACAATAAATTTGGAATTTAAAAAAGTGCAGATCACTTCACAAAAAGCTTTGCTACAAGGGAAAAAAAATAAAAATGTTTTATTCATAAGAATTAAAATGCCAGAGAGAGTGTTTATAGCATCAAACAACAATTAAAGATTGAGCAAAGGCAGATCAAAGATAACTAACTCTAATTATAAATTTCTCACTTTGAAATGCATCAGTCAACACCATTACAGTCTGTCAACATAACACTTTCTCAATATCATTATGCCCCATTCTGATTATTCCGTCATGTAAATTGTAGTCGACACAGTACTTTCTCACCATGGTTATCACAAATTACAAAGTAAAACCGGCATCAAAACCAAAGAACGCGTAAGCAGTGACAAAGGCCGACGCTGTCAAAAAAGTATCCAATGAGTGCACAATGATATTAGTGAAACTGTGAAAGTATGAAGCAAATTCCAGAAATAGATGAGCCAACAGCAAAATGAGTTGAAGCAAAAAGGAGAACAGAAACACTTCCCAAACGTCTTTCAATAAACAAACATTGCAGAAAAAATGAGTTCTTCAGAGGGCATTCTAAGTTGCAGCAAGAATGTTGCATCCAAGCCCTTAGAAGAACATAAGGGAAAGTTCAAAAGCAGCTTGAGGCTTCCATTCCAAATCTCTCAAAATAAAACCACGAAGATGGGGAAAGAAAATAAAACAGGAAATAAGCCATAGCAGCCAACTCACAGTGAATTAACTCAACAAAAATATCATAAATAAAACACTTAAATGCTCATAAAGCGATAATTATTTCACGCAGAATTCTTCATAAGAATCCAAGAAAATGAAGAACCGATGCGACCAAATACTGTTGCTTCACCCCCAAAAGTAAAGACGCTGGTTTTAAAACAGAAAGAAAAAAGCTGACAATAGCTGAGAAAGATCGAAGCTTGGAGATGAAAGGGGTGACCGGCGAGGAAGACGAAGGTCGAGAGCGAAAGAGAAAAAGAGTACCTCACCAAGGACGATGAAGGCCAAGCTGAGGGTGAGTGAGAGGGCGGAGAACTTCAGGGTGGCGAGAGAGCGGCGACGAGAGTATCTTCGACCAGTGCGAGTCAAAGTGAGGGATCGCAGCGAGTGGGATCTGCAGAGAGCGAAGTCCGACTATCCTGAAAATTAACGGCATATAATTACAAATTGCCATTAAAAAAATGAAGTGCCGGTCGCCTTCTAAAATGTTTTTCTTACCGGAAAAAACTCAAAAATGGCATGGAATATGTTATTAAAAAAGAAAGCATGGAATAACTCTCACTAATAATATTTTAACAAGCAAAAATAGGGCGCATATGACTAAAATTAGAGCTGGGAATGCGGGCTGGCGGTGTGGGCCAAAAGCGGTGCGAGCTGAAGTAGTCCGCACTTTGGCGGGCTGGCGTTTTGCCAGCCCGAGCCTGCCAAGGCAGGCTGGCGAGCTAGCCCGCCGGCCCGCCTAACTTTTAAAAAAAATATTATTATTTGTATAAGTTTAAGCTTAATTTGTAATGTTAAAATTGGATTTGGAGTTTTAAACTTGAGTAATGAGTTATAATAAAATAATGTGAGTATTAATTTATAATTTGAGAAGATATTTTAGAAAAACTAACACATATTTTTTTTCTAAATAATTAATGACTATTTTTTATCCAAATTAATTAAGTAGATCTTTTATGTATGTATTACATATGTAATTACATGGATGAGAAGATGTAAATATGAAATTTGGGGGTTAAAATCCTCCAATTAGAAAATTAAAAATTTTTTTAAAAAAAAGCGGGCTAGCCTGTGGCGGAGCGGGTTGAAAACGATGCGGGCTGGAATAGCCCGCACCTTGGCAGGTTGGCATTTTGCCAACCCGAGCCCGCCATTTTTGGCAGGCTGGGCCCGTATTACCAATTCTAACTAAAATGTCAACGTATGTTACATGCAGATAAAAAAACTATGAAGTGATTATCTTTTCATCTACTAGTAATGCTTTTTGGCCTCTACTAGGGTAATACTTATAAGAAGTAAAAAAAAAAAAGAAATTGCAAAAAAAGATTCTGAAATTTAAAAAACACATATAAGAACCCGTGACAATTTCGCAATGGGTTTTGATAACTTCATGATATATTATTATTGTCAAAAACCATAGTAAAGTTATTAAGAATTCCTATATATGTTTTTCAAATTCCAGGATCTTTAATTATGATTTTTCCTTAAAAAAAATCAACTCTATTGGAATGGCTTTGAAAAAAGTACTTTATAAATTAAAATTAAAATTTTATATAAAATTAGAGACTAAACAGCAACATACACTCATTGTTAAGAGAAAGTGTTTGGATTAAAACAAAATCAAAATTTTAAAAGTAATTTTATGATATATGAAGTAAAAATAAAAAAAAGAGTTTTTTCTTAATTTGTATGAAAGTACTTTTAAAAAATGTTTTTGAGGTATCCAAACATCCCCAAAATCAAATTCAACTCAATTTATTTGGTCAAATTTATTTATTGTTTTTTTAAAAAAACCTAAATAAACTGAATCAAGCCAAACTCAATTTATTTGGTCATGGAAATAAAATTTTTGAATATCTAGCTGAAATATTTTTCTTATATATACAAATATATAAATGTATAATTTTTATTTATAAATATGTTAAAAAAACAATTTCAGCGGAAGCCAAACATTGTGGTTCGGTTCAGTTTGATTCGAATGAGATGAGGAACTCGGTTTTGTTAGATATTTACGGAATAGTCTGTTATATTTAGAGAGTGTTTAGATAGAAACCAAATCATGATTTTAAAAGTGTTTTTAAAAAATTTCTCTCGTTTTATAAAAAAATGTTTCTAAGATCACAGTTTGAAACACCAGATGCGGGCGCTCCTGTCCATTTCCATCGTACCATAATTTCATTTGCCGGGAACCCAACACTTGTTATTGTAACTCCCTGTTCAAAAGTAGTAAACGCTCCGCTGTTGCTAATCAGAGCTTCAGCCACATTCATGGTGTTCATCGCTTGAGCCACTCGCCGAAAAAGCAGAGAACTTTCGCTTCTTAAGCATAACATTCTTCCATGGCCTCCTGGCGGCGTATGACTGGCGCTTACACTATGCTTTCCCTGCTTCTTTCTGCTTCTGTAGCAATCGCCGTCATCGATCACTTTGCTATTCCGACGACATGGTTTAGCAACTTTAAATATGGTGAATCATATTCTTATGGTATGGTCAGTGTGGTCAATGAGTTTACTCACGATCCCGAAGCCTTTACCCAGGTAAATTTGGGGTTTCAATGATCTGATATGGTTGGGGATTCCTGCTATTTTATGTGCTTAACTTTCTAAATACATCCAATGTGTGCTCGGTAGCTGATAATGGGGTTATCTCAAACCATAAATACTATTCTTCTTGACAATTTGAAGCTCCAAAATACGAATTCTAACTCATTAGAAATTAGGACGAGTTGCCGCTATACGCTTCTCGCCTTTTACTTCTGCATGCCTATGATTCCCCCGCCACCCTCCCATTTCATGCATTTGTTATGTAATGTAGGGTTCAACCCCTCAAGTATTTTTGTTCATTCTGATAGTTTCATCAATAATACCTGTTGAGACAAAATGCCGTTATTTTCTCTTCATATTTATAATAATAAATTTGAGTCTTCGTCTGAAATGCTTAGAACAACGGGCTTTTAAATCTTGAAGGACTTTTGTAGAAGGCCTCAGTTGAATTTAAGAGATCCAAATTCATCAAAGGATCACTTGTTAGGTGTTCACTCTATGAATTTTCAATTGAATTGGCCAAAAAGGCAACTGCTGCTTTCTACCCAAAATAAATATAAGGAGGACTAGTATAAAAGCAGAACTTGCCTCAGTGATTGCTGATGCGAGGACCTTACAGGTCTTGTGGATACCTTTCTTGAGTACTCTACTTTCGGTAGCAAAACATTATGGGTGATTGCTAAAATAAGCTATATGACCTATGATAAGTAGTGATATAATTTCTGAGATTTTTTTAAGTTAAAAAATGTACCTTGCTTGACTAATGGAAAGCCAAGGTTTTGATCTAAATTATCTTATTTGTAACTCACGGAAGAGGAAAATTTTTCGTCTCTGCTTATTTAATTTCAGGGTCTTGTTTATGGTGGAAATGATACCTTATTCGAGTCAACTGGTCTTTATGGGAAGGTCAGGTTACTTTCTTTTTCCTTGTATGCCCTTCTTTCTCTTTTATTTTTGTGAGCCATTTGTCTTGCCATTTTTCCTTCTGAGGTGAACGCAAATATTTTATCCTTAAAATGTAGAAAGGCGGGTGGATATTGTCTGCAGTCATTTTTTTGCAATGCGTGATAATAAGATTAAGTTGGGAATGCATATAGTTCTTACAAATGAAAAAATTACTCCATCTGTGGTAATTTTCTCAATGATTAGCTACTATAACTGTATTCCAGTGCATTGCCGTCCGTATAGTTCAAGATGGTCACCTAAGCTTTTCATTATAATAACTTTATAATCTTTTGACTGTCGTAGTCACTATGATATTTCTTTCAGTGGGATTATTGTAGTGAAGTCTTTATAATTTAACCAGATGAGGATTTTCTCTCTGGCATAAAATTTGCTATATATCATGAAAAAAGTCTTTCCAATTCTGAAATTAATTTCTTTGGAAAGTTTTTGTTTTTTCTCATATCAGTTATGTAAGTTGTGAGTAATTGACATCTGCTCGAATTACTATGACACTTGTTTCTTTGGATCTTGTTTCATGATTAAGTTGTAAATTCATTCCTGATTGTTTGCATTCACTACAATGGTTTCTCAATAATCCCAATCTAAAATCAACTTATATATAAAACTAAGCTGCGGTGTCAATATCACTGCTATTAGTGTCATCTACGAGCTAGGATTAAACTGCTTTGGAACTTCTACTTAGGGAATCTTTCATTTAATGCTTATTATATTTTATTGAACCTTTTAATTACTTGTTTCAGTCATCTGTTCGGAAAGTAGCTCTTCATACTGGGAAGGTATGGACCCTTGCTTCTTGATTCTTTCTCATGTTCTTGTTTAATTACTCACTTCATTGTTTTGAGTTATAATAAGAATAATGATTGGTGTTATGCAAACTATGTAGTTTGTTCAACCCGGAGAGGCAGAGACAACTTCTGTTAAGCCTGTGCTATTCATATATTGGAAACCCGACTTGTGTAGTTGTGTGTAGTGTTGTGAAGTTTGTTTGACTGGACTTAGTAGGTGGCAGTTATATTGTTTGAGTATCATTTTTGCTACTTTCAGGTTGAGACGCTTCTGAAGATTAATGATTCTATATTTGGCGAAGGATTGACTCTTTTTGGTGAAAGGTGTGTATAGTGTATAGTGTACCGTAAATTATGCCGCAACTTGGTTTTTTTCCTGATATGAAGGTCAATAACTAAAACAAAGGTCTTTAATTCGGGAAGACAAGGTGCTTATGATTCTGTTGTGAAAAGTAGATTTTGAGTTTGAATCGAAGGTAGGGAAGTTATGGATTGAAGTTCACGGATGCTATGGTTAATGAAGGGCAATGCACAGGCGACACTGGTTTTAGGGTTAGGTTAGCGATTGTCTAGGTGCAGCGAACATACCTACAGGTTTGATAGTTTTAAGGCCAAACCCAAGGAAGAAATAACATAGGCTTTGATGTTTGTCAAAGAAATCATGTCCAGTGGGCGGACAATAATAACAAACAGAACAGTGGAAGAGGAGAAGAAAAGATATCTAGATGTTGCACAACCAAGAAAGAACGAAATTTGCAGCCATAAATCATAAAACTGATGAACATACTAACAATTAAGAAGCACTACAACTGTTTGCTTAAGCCTACGATAACTCATTCAACAAGGAGGGGATAAAATCCCAGACTCATAAACGAGACTTGAATGTTACAATAGGACTTTTTAAAATCTAGCATAAACACAAGTCCAATTACAAACATAGTCCAGGAAATTTGAAAATTACTACAATGCCTTAGGACTGAAAATATAAGTTGTTTTTGATTGAAAGTTGTGAAGACTTGAAAAGGATTTCAGTAATTGAATGCCCAGTGGCTCTTAAACAATCCTAATTCTAGAAAAAAGAATATCTGGTATGATAATAGAAAGTAAACATCTATAATCCTACAACAATAGCATTACATTTGTTCTATTTACATATCAGAAGTCAAATACATTGATTTCTTCAAGAAAAGAATCCAGGGAACGTAGACACCTGTGAGGCAGATATATAGGCACTATGATGTGTCATATTTTTGTTTTACTCTTCCACTTGATATTTGAGTTTATTCTAACAATTTGTTATGCTTTCTGTAGGTTGTTCCAAGTAGCTTGGTTGCAAAAGACTGGTTTCATTTATGACTGCAATGATTTAAGCAAAGTTTGTGCCTAACCTCACCCATATTTTGGCCTTGACTTGTTTTGAGTTTCTATTTTTAATGAGAAATCAAATACCCTCAATATATATTCATAGTGACTGTGTAGCATGTTAGAATCAGTAGCCACTGCATTATGAGCAAGGAAGGAATTTGTATTAGATCTTTCTGTTAGAAGTTTTTTTGTTTTAAGAAAGGGGTTTCCATTTCAATAAGATATGCTGTACTTTGGTGAAGACAATGAAAAAAAAGATGTCTTGGTTGAGTTCCTTGCTTAAAAACTTAATTATGACTTGCTTATGATCTTGTCTAATTCTATACACTATCTCTTGTATTTCCGCATTTCCAATCCACACGTGATGTGAATTTTTCATTTCTTATCTAGTAGATTTTCATCAGATGTTTTTCAGGACAGGTTGAATGCCCAAAATGCCAGTTTATACTTTAAATAGCTATTGCTAAAAGAAGGAAACAACTTGAATAGCTACTATTGGGTGTTTATTTCCTGTAGGTTGGAGAATTTATGCATCAGATGAATGATGGGTGGGGTCTGGCAACTGATGGAAAAGTTTTGTTCGGAAGTGATGGCACTTCAACATTGTATCAGATGGATCCTCATACATTCAAGAGTTGCTTATCTAGCACTGCTTTAACATTTTTATATTCCTTGTATTTTTGTTTTACTGAATTCGCTGGCTGGTTTTGATGCAGTTCTATCAAAACATGTTGTCTACTACAAAGGTCATGAAGTAAAATATCTCAACGAATTAGAGTTTGTAAATGGCGAAGTTTGGGCAAATGTTTTGGGGGTATGTTCTTGCATGTTTAGTTGTGACTGTGTTTGCAGTAGATATATTTATGTACATATCAGCAAAATACAGACAGATGTGTTTGGTGAAGTTCTTTTTTGTGCACAATCTTCTGAGGTCAATATATTTCTTTCTCCAGGTCGACTGCATTGTAAGAATCTCTCCCAAGGACGGTCGTGTTATTGGATGGGTTCTCCTCCAAAATTTAAGGTCAAGCCAATGTCCCCCTTCTCCATCATACAAACTTACTACATATATCGTTTGTGCAGGTTTTGATTGCTGTTTAAGTAAATTTGTCAACTGTGTTGTTTAAGGCTGCGTTTTGTTTATCCTATGCAGAGATCAAGCGGTGGCACCTGGGAATCAAGTAAGGAACCTGAACGGCTGAACCCTTTCATTTCTATAAAATAATAAGATCCTTTTTCTTTGGGGTTTAGCTTGACAACTTGGAATCTCAGTTAGACCAAAGATTAACTGAAAAGGATATGTTGCTAACATCTGGATATTGCCACATTGTAGAAGCAGAAGGTTTTGAATGGCATAGCATGGGATGGTGAAAAGAAGCGCATATTTGGTAAGCTGTAGTAACATTCTATTGCTCATACCAATAAAAAGAAAGATGTTTAGTCTAAGCGTGGGAATTGTTCCTTTGAGGAGGAGAAAAATAGAGCTGTAGCCCATGAAAGTTAATTTTTTTAAATTCAATAACCTATGTGAGTTAATTTGATTGCTTTTCAATGCCCTTATCATACACAGTACTAGTCACTTTTGTTCTTGACAAGTATGTTTGCTTGCAGTGACGGGAAAACTATGGTCCAAGCTATACGAAATCAAAGTTGTTCCTATAAAGAAACCAATTGAAGAAGGGTTCATTGAGCAGCTTTGCTTGAGTCCACTTGGAAGTGAAAGTCTGAGAAGCAGTCATTAACTATAAAGGGTTCTGTTATGTTGGTCGCTGCCTGTCCTATGAGTCTCGTGGGTTCTATGTATCACTGTCTTTCCAACGCTCTTGTATGAAATGTAAGAGAAAATGGTCCAAGATGAGAACGGGAGGGAATGTGCAAGAATACGTTTGAGGTGCGGCGTGTAATGCTGTGATTAAATAAATTCTCCTGCCGAATAAATTTATTGCTCAATAAGTTGTTTTATTTACATATTAAATAAATGATATTCTCTCTTAATCCTTAATATAGGAACTAATTGAGAAATTTGTTTTATCCTTAAATATAGCATTTTAATTTATTTTATCTTTCAAATTTATAATTGTTCTCAATTTATTTCTATTGATGACATATATAAATAGTTTTTTTAATAAAAATAACACACATTTATTATGAATAACTAATTTAATTAATTTTTTAATATTTGCAAATTAGTTATCTTATTTGTTTTGGGGATTATCTCACGTTGGCAATTTATTTGAGAATTTTTCTATCTAGTGTGCTATCTAAAACGGTTTCTGTCCAATTGCAATTAATTATTTTTGGATGAATGTTTGTTTGTTTTCCAATACTCCTCAAATGAAAAAAAAAGGATCATAAATATCATGAGAGGATCATAAATACAATGAGCGATACAAGAAAGTAACGTTAAATTTTAAAAATAAAATCTGGCACATGAAGCTTGTGTACCTGAGTGTCATTTTATTTTATTTTTATTATCTAAAATCAAATTCCCGCTAATTTCTCAAGTTCGTTATTAAATTCGTTCCTTGAACTGGGAGCGGGAGCGAAACCATCCTAATTTATCTGAAGAGTTCATCTGTAGCTCAAAGCCACCGGCATTTCCACCTTCTTCTACTTCCACTACTTCTTCTTCTTCTTCCTCCGATGTCTTCCCGTTCATCATCAATCATAAAAGCAAATCCCACAAAACCGAACTCATTCTTCGGCGTTCCAATATGGATTCTGCTCCTAGCTTCAACAGCAGCGTTCATCACGTTCATGATTTTCATCGCTCTCTGCATTTGCTTCATCTGCTTTCGTCGTCGTCGTCACAGAAAGCTATACAAGTCCCGATTTTCTTTGCCCAAACCAATTGCTTCCAAGCATTACCGTCATCTTCGTCACGATTCCAGCTCGTCGTCCCTCGACAAGAGGCTACTCTCAGGCAATATTGATGTCTCCGGAATTCTGATGAACTTTGATCGGTTCTTGCCAAACGCCGATAACGGTAGGGAAGATGGAGATTTAGAATCGATTGTTGGATGTTCACATAGGAGTAAGAATGTTTTGGGACAGAGTATCGAGTTCGGCTTGCAGGAGATCATGAAGGCGACGAATGGATTGGCTAAAGAGAATGCGATTGGAAGTGGAGATCATGGAACTGTTTATCTCGGTTTGTTGCGGGATAATACTCGAGTGGCAGTGAAGATACTAATAAGCTACAGGTACATCTAATTGAAGGCAACCTTTGCGTCCGTGGTTTATTACTATATTTCTGCTGAATATCACATAAACTGCTTGCAAAAGGTATTTGACATGGACAGATTTTATCTGTATTTGTATGCTGTTAATTTTTTTTTCATTTTTTGGCATCTCCAGCTGTCAAAGTGAGGATTTTGCACTGCAAATGGAGGCAATTGGATCTGTACGACACAAGAAACTGGTCCAATTGCTTGGATATTGTAGCGAGGGAGCTTACAGGTGGGAGCTTCAAGTATTACAAGAGTAAAGAAGTGTAAGAATTATTACTATTGAAGAATTTTTAGCACTACTAAGTTTCCTGTCTATTAGGATGTCAGTATCTGAATACATAGATGATGGAAATCTGCATCAATGGCTTCACCACTTTCCAGGAAAAGTCAGCCCTCTAACATGGGAGACCAGATTGAATATTATCCAGGGTGTGGCGAAAGGGTGAGATTTAGAATCTCAAAACTCTTTACTGAGATATTCGTGCTCATATATCACTTGAAAGCTATGAACTTGTGCAGATTGGCCTACCTTCATGAGGACGTTGAACCCAAGATTCTCCATGGAAGCTTAAAATCTAGTAATATTTTCCTTGATCACCAGTGGAATCCCAAGATCTCTGATTTTGGCCTTGCTAACCTTTTCACCGCTAAGTGGACTCCTAATATGATGGAAACATCGAGGTCCGTTTCTCTGCTGCGAAAACTTCTCAAAGATCCGGTATTTTCATGCAATATAATCTTCTATATTGATATGTTTAATTTTCGTAATATTTCAGTTTCATGGATCCAAAAAGTCATTCCACTAGGGATTTCAGTGGGAGCAGTGACATTTATAGTTTCGGAGTCCTCATAATGGAGATTATATCAGGAAGGACTCCTTTAGATCATACTCTACCCCAGGTAACCTCGGAGAAATTTCAACCCCACTTCACTCAAAAACATCCTTTAAATGATAAATTTAACACGACATTTACATTGCAGGAAGATTTAGTTCACTGGTTTAAGTCCAAGATTGGAAATGAAAATATCGACCACCTGGTGGACTCAAAATTGCCTGAAATGCCTCCATCCAAGGAGCTCAAACAGATGATTTTGGTATCTCTTCGATGCGTTGATCCTGATGTGAATCCAAAACTCAAAATGGGAGATGTGATTCGGATGCTTGAGCCTCGCGATCTCCTTCTTTCTAATGTAAGAAAAATTAGTTTTGATCTCAGTTGCCAGAAGTCTACCAATTCCTGATCTATTTTGTAATTATAATTTCCTCTTTCTTTTCTGAAGGAACACGACATTGCTAGGGAAGTTTATGAATACAATCACTCGCCACAAAGTGACCCTGCCTCAGAATTAGGTGACAGTCCTTACGAGATAAATGTAAAAGGATAATAGTGCTGGTCTTGAGTATCTCTGACAAACTCATATGGAAGCCTTTTACCTTATTGTGTCGTAAAATTCTTAAGGTGCTTACAAGCCTGAGCAGTAAGATTCATGGGTGTTGGAACCTTTCTGTACAGAGATCCTAACGAGAATTTCCTCTTGACCAAATCTAACCTCGTAAATACTTTTCAGAAGTGTTTTTGTGCGTATCTGGGAGAACGTTTTTGGGAAGTGAAGTTCTTTTGGGTCTTGTTGTGCCTCGAGGGAAGATCCAGCAGGAGAAGATGATGAATGAGACAGAGACCCCAGAAATGGCTATGGACTCATGGGTTTCCTACGTTATTGTCAACGAGATGATCAACTGAGCAGGAAAAAATGAGATTATGAATTGAATGTTTGCTTGTTGTCGTGTGAAGACTTAAGAGTGAGAAGTGAAAGGGTGAGAAAAATAATACTTCTGTGAGAAAAGTTAGATTCATATAGAAAACGTCATGTACGCATAGATGATTATTTTCAAGAGTTGTTAGGATTGTTTTCTACTGGTCAGTATCAACGTTTTTCAGATTTGCCTTTATTTTTTATTCTATTATTATTCTAATTTCTAGATAAAATATTATTTTATTTTCCCTTTTGTTTTTGCATGAAAACTACAAAAATTACAAAAAATGTAGACCGTGAAAATTTAGAGTTTTTGAGCCACATAACTCTGTTAAATAACAATAAGTCAGTAACACAGCAACGAGCTTTTAATTTTAAGTATATGACAGTCATAATTTATAATATCCTCTTGAGGATTTGAATTTAATGTGATTAAGCACAATAGTTCCGTATTATACTTTAACGACAAAATTTCATTTAGTAATTAGTAATAGGCCTCGGGCAGTTGTAAACTTGTAATTTTACATAGTTCATGACGCTTTTGGCACCTTTACTAACAGTTACACTTTATTTTCTGTAAGCTGCAACATTGTTGACCAAAGTGGTTACCTATAACACTAGAGCCAAATTTCAAAGCAAATACTCTTTTAAAGTACTAGAACAAGTCTTCAACTGGACACTATCAACGGGCAAACTGTCTTTCGGATAAGGACAGTCAAATTTCTGTTCCTTCTCTGGCAGCAAATCACAAGGCTTAGGAGTCACATTGCTTGTGAATCCCTCAACATCAGTGCAATTCCATTGGAGTTCTTTTGGCTTCTTGGTCAGTTTGATATTCACATCAGAAATGCAAATCCCAGTGAAAGGATCACCAGAAATCCCATCAAGTCTTGCTGAGTAAGTCACATTATCAGCTATAACGTCTCTGTAGTTTATTCCACTTATCTTTGGGAGTGCTTTGGGATCAAACCCTGGGTCTGGATGAGATCCATAAGAGCCTGTCATCCAGAACACATATTTCATGGTGCTTAAGTTCATTCCTTTCACAAATATGTCTTTCACATAACCTCCTCTTCCAACTGCAGTTTTGATTCTAACAGCTGATTGGGTGTTTATTGCATTGTTGTTTTCAGCTCTAACATCTTGGATGCCACCAGACATCTCGCTTCCTAAGGCAATCATTGCACTATCCGGGGATATGCAGGTAAGCCTTCTGACAATGAGATGTTGAGTTGGCATCCCAAATCTAATTCCGTACTGATCCCAGCCACTTTTTACTGCGACACAGTCATCGCCGGAGACAATGTAGCAATCTTCAATTTTTACGTTTGTAGATGAATCTATAACAAAAGGCAGGAAGAAAAATTTCAATTAGACAGTGAGAGACATGTTCAACTAGTGACGTTTGTCTCGAGAAACAAGTAGAAACAAGAACGCAATAGAATTATTAACCAGTTACCAGGGTCTATGCCATCTGTGTTTGGGGAATCAATTGGTGCAATGATGGTTAACCTTTGAATTATTACATTGCTGCATATAAAGTTTCTTGATCAGAACAATCAGATATGAAGAGCACTATAAGCATGAACACAGTGAATCTGGACAGACCAATCTACGAGATGTTTGTACATGATGAATATGAAAGACTAATCATCAAACCTGCTGTAAATTGGATGGACAAACCAAGAAGGAGAGTTGAGCAAAGTTAAATCAGAAATCTGGATTTGATCGGAGTACATTATCTCAATCAGGTATGGTCTTGTGACTTTCAATTTACCCTGGTGGAACTTATCCCACCAATAAGATCCTTGCCCATCAATTGTCCCATTGTTACCTAATGATCAAATTGCAACAGGTCAAAGTACATTATAACCACTGTATATGACATGAACATAGTTTAAAAAAAGTTATTATGATTGATAAATGATTAATTGGTCCAAATAGTTACCAGTGATGACGACATCAGTAAGGTTAGTTCCAAAAATGAGACTGCTGAGCCTTCCATTTGGTGCATCTCTTCCTCTGCCATAAGATGGTAGCACAGGAAGTTCTGGCCATTCTGACTCATCCTGTCAATTTTGCTTTGCTATGTTAGAGACACGCCTAAAATCATTTCAGGGCCTTTTGTAATAGAACCAATGATCATAAACTAATATACCAAGAAATCGTATTCGTTAGGCAAAGTCTTCAAATTGTCAAAAATCGAGTACTTCATGTTGTCCCATTTTAATCCCCCATACTATATTTTCTCTTTCATACCAATATGAAATATAAGTCATGAATAGTACTACTTATATCTTCGAATTTCATTGAATTTATGTTGAAACGTGTCTATTTTGACTACAAAAGATCTCCTTTATATGCTAAAGAATTGACAACAAAAGAAGAACAACGAGGATACCTGAGATCCAAGAATGACAGCATCTTTGTGAAGAAAAAGAGTGAAATGGCTAGTGAGATTAAAGCTTCCAGTGAGCCATTTGCCAGCTGGCACAATAAGTTGTGCTCCTCCATCAGATGCATATTGGCTCAGATGACTAATGGCAGTCTGAAAGGCCTTAGTGTTTGATGTTTTGCCATCACCAACCCCTCCAAAATCTGTCAAAACTGCACTATGCTTCCTGCAATTAATGGCAGAATACTCTAACTTCTCCGATCTTCTCACTGATCCTCTGCTCTCTACCGATCCCAATATCACAACTACTGAGATTATCCCAATAATCTGTAGGAAATTCGATACTGTCAGATGCAACGGGTAACATGACTTGTTTCTCAAACGTAAAGTAATTTATACAATACAATACATTAAATATCACACAGAGCATGAGTCAAAGCATAATCATCGTCGATAAATATTATATCAGACAAGCTCCAAGGGACGGGAAGAGAATTACGTAGGAGTTTCTGAACTGTAGGCTTTGCGACTTCATGGTACGAGACGAAATTTTTGTTTTCTGAGGAAGAAGACTCGGAAGGTGACGAAGGCATGGGCAGTATATATAGAGGGGGTTCTAAGGATTGTGATTTGTGAGTGCACCAGAAACGGAAAATTATCTGAACCTTTTATGGAAAAATATCGTGACATTAATATTGCCCATTTCATTTTTTTAAGAATCTTTCTTAGTTTGCCTAGTAAATCCAATCTAATGCAGTGCATCTCGTCCGTGATATCCGGTCCAAAATTTCAGTTTGTTTGTTCTCTTTTGTTGTTTTCACCAACCAGAAGAAGAAGGTTGTTTTTGAAATCAATGTGGCGTAGAAATACCACGTAACGATCAAATAATAAAAGCAAATAATGACGTGCATTGAAAGTACATTGTATCTGTTTCATGTTTGTTCATGCATCACCGTTTGTCCCTTTGAATTTTGACCTTATGATTCGTATGGATTTTGGAAATGGACGGATATCTGATATTAACAACTTTTGAATCCTTGCCAATAAATTGAGAGGCGTCTATTTTGCTTTCTGAATGTTTATGGAAATACTTTTTCTTTTTGCCGAAGTTTATGGAAATACTTTGAAACATTGCTAAACTCTTTTGACTGCAAACAGTTAAATGTTGGTCGCATAATGTTTTTACCCTGCATCACAATATAATTACCCCTTAAAGTTTGAATAATATATAATTAAAACTTCGATGATTTCATGATTTGATCCATAGATAAATAATATTTTATGGAGATTTGATATTATGTGATACTAAACCCCACAGTGAAAAATACAAAATGCTTAACAGAATATTTAAATACGATGGTTTGGTCAATTGAACAGCTAATTTTTAAGACAGGATTCTCCATGTCTTTTATTATATTTCTTTAGGGTGTGTTTGGTTTAAGAGAGGAAGGGGAGATATTTCAGTGAAAAGCAGGAATTTTATTGAAATAGTAAATAATCTTTTTTTCTAAGTTTTTATTTATTACACTTCGATTTTATGCCACCAAGGCACCAAGATGTGTAGTTTTTTCAATAGAGGTTTGTATTTTTAAAATCATCATGTTTAGCCTTAGTGCGGGGGATCTTCGTTTAAAACCATTTCTAGAGTCTACTCTTCTCTTCTGGTCTTATTTATAAAACACTTTCAGCATGTTTCACACACTAAGAAAAATATTAAACTTCATTAACTCTCATTTAACATTTAATAACTTTCTAATTTTATCCATATTTAATATATATTATACTTCATGTAAATAAAGTCAACACAATAATAAATGAAGGATAAAATTGTACATCCATATAAAAAATTTCTCTCAGTACCTTATAAATAGAATAAAAAAATATTTTCTCCTTATCCTATAAATATGACCAGAGGAGTAATAATTTTTTTTTTAAATTAGCATTTTCAAAATTTGGGTTTTTAACTATTATTATCCTTTTAAGAAATTCCTTTTTTTTTTTGCCATCCTTTTGAAAAAAAATCCAAAGTGTTATTTTTACTATATAATTCTGAGTTAAAATTGATTTTAAATTATGTTCATTTCTCTGAGACCGAATTAAGTTGATTAAGCTTATTTTGTCATAAGATTTTTTTTTTCATTTTATTCAATTGTAAAATACTCTAATCACTTTTTTGTTTTAGGCCTTTAGCTTAATTACCCAAAGGTCCCTCCATTTTTCAAAATATACATTTTAGTCTATATTGTTAACATATAGTTCCATAAGTTTCTAAAATAAAAAAAAATGCATTTTCCATTTAAATTAAATAGAAGAGATCAAAATATTTTACTCTTCATTAAATAATGCATATAATATATGGTGGGCCCGAGTTTTTCTCATAAATTATTTTCATTGCAAATAATCAAAATTTATTAATATTTGGACAATATTAAGTTTCTTGTTAAAAATATAGTTTTAATTAGTATTTATTAACTATTACGCCCAACTAATAATACACCAAGAATCCAAGAAATGTACTTGCACATATTGAGGATGCAAAGTATTAACGAGCTTTATCCAAAGTAGAGTTGAAGCGAATAGGCACGCCTGGGTTTATATACAAGGCACAAGCTCATTGAAAATGTATAAATAAGCATAAGATTTCGGCAAAACTATCTAAGGCAGCACTTATACATAAAATTGTATGAAAAAAAAAAAGTATTTATTCCTAAATCCATTTCCGGTATTTTTCATCCTATATTATTCTCTAGGCAGCAAGTGTCAAGATAATTTCAGGCAATGTGTGGTTGGACATGAGAAAGGGAGAAGACAAGCCAAAGCACAGAAAATGAAAATGCTGTTTCATATGTAAGGTATATTATTTCCTCTTCATTCTGAATCAACAGTATGTGTCACTTCTTAGGAATAGATAACGAGTCATTTCCATTCACATCATCTTTCTCTTTACCTTTCATATCTAACACTCTGCACACCAAAATTAGGCCTATAACGTTGCCTGCTGATGTTAATAACTGCAACTAAACAAAGGAATACCAATATAGCAGTCTAGTACCTGCACCAAGGAACATACTCACGCCTATATAGCTTGTACATCCGGCTAACCATCCAAATCGCAATTCATCGTCTTTACACTCATGACAGATGGGTTAGGATCCACTGAAACCAGTGTAAAATTTTATACACTTCACTCAGTAAAATATCATGGAATATTACTATTAATCTAACAATTGAACTACAAGGAAAAAACATGGCAGCACTAAACCAAAAAAGAAAAAAGGGGTTTCACAGACTTGGTAAAGAATCAACGTGGAACCTGCCACCACATGCTATAACGGCACTAAAGACTGCAATACGGTTGAGCTGATCTCAACTAAAAGTTAACAGTAATCCTCACACTAATTCCAGAAATTCATTAGCGAAGAGAAGAAAAGTTAAAAATTGAACGAGTAAAGATAAGCTTTACTAACCCCACGGTTGATGGTGAAAAGCGCCCCCCCCCCCTCATACAGAACAAGTAGTTGCAGCCGAAACAATTTCACAACCGTCAACACCAAACGGAACTTTATCATGTTGCTCGTAATTGGTCCATTTAAACAACTGAACCGTGGTCTTCTTTACCGTTGCGCTGAGCATATGACCGACAATTACCCACACTTCCGTACCCCTGTAAATATATTTTGAGGTTGGGGGTAACGAAGAACTGCAAAGCATATCACTGATGCAGTTTCCACAGGGAGGACACAACTTTTACAGCCTGTTATCAACTTATCAGATAAAGAGTGGTAGCTTAATTCCCCAACGAAAGGAAATTGTGCGTGCCTGCAGAGGATCAATAACGCAACATGCCAAACATAGCAGAGGAGGACTAAACTAGATTCACAAATTCGGTAGAAATTTATCATTGAACCACCAATAACTTGTTACAATGGCAACAAAGACTCTAAACGCCTGCAACTGAGTTACAGACGCTAATTCTGACAATGATGCTATGAAGTCACCAATAAAAATGAAGAAATGCTTGGTGAAGAAAACGAAGAAAGTTATGCTTTACTAACCCCACTGTACGTAGCTTCCTCCTTCTACCTACGTCTAAAACAAATAATTGCAGCCAAAAAAACACTTAGCTTTTCCACAACCCGAAAAACCGAAATGTCATGACAAGCCAACCTATCTCAAACTTGCAATTCTCAAAGCAGATTCTAACCCCAGCCTAAGAAGGAGAAAAACCCACGCTTTGGCTCCTCCTCAACCATCACTGCCTGCATACTATCCTGCTCTACAAGCCTCCAGGCCGCCTGCTCAAAGGCCATACCGGCCAAAGTTGGTGGTTTATTCAATACTAGCGGGTACCCCCTATTTGTACTCCTAATCACCTCCGCATCCTCAGGAATCACTCCCAGAAGAGGCAATCCGAGCATTTCTTGAACATCAAGCACGGACATCATATCCTCCCCTTTGATCATATCCGTCCGAACCCGGTTCACAATCATCTTTATATCCCTAATACCATCACATTCTAGCAACCCCGTGACTCTGTCAGCATCTCTCAAGCTTGTAATATCTGGCGTGGTAACCAGAACTGCCTCATTGGCTGGGGTTATGGCAGTTATGAACCCAGCGTCAATCCCCGCAGGACAATCAATTAGAATGAAATCTGGCGACCTTTCCTGCCTAGACTTTAAGGCATCCACGAGCCAAACCAGGGCTTTCCCACCAAAACCAATCGGCAGTTTAGACCTGGGTTTCGATATACAGAGCAATTCAAAATTCGACCATCGCTTATCTCTCACAAGAGCTTGGTCAAGCCTGCAATCGCCGTTGAGGACTTCGACAACAGTGTAGTTCACTCGATTCTCGAGACCGAGAAGGAGATCAAGATTCCGAAGCCCAACGTCAGCGTCAATTGCAACGACAGAAAAGTCGAGACGGGCAAGTGAAAGGCCAATGTTGGCGGTAGTGGTGGTCTTGCCGACGCCACCTTTGCCGGAAGTGATGACAACGACACGAGGAGTTTCGCCGGCCAACTGGGGTTTTCTGTTCCATTGAAGAACAGCTTTTACGAGAGAGGTCGAATAGGGTTTAGATTTGGGTTTTAGGGGTTTAGCATTGATGGAGATGGGGCTGAAGAAGTTACCACTGAGGAATGCGGGTGCAGAACTGAGCGTCTTCGTCGGAGAGCTAGAGCTCGAAGCAGAGGCCGAGGGAAGCTTGAGAGCCAGCATCGATGACGAGTTCAGTGAGAGGAGCGGGTGACTGTAACCGCCTTTTCGGCCAGACTGTGACTATGCTTGGCGTCCTGCGGATGCAGCCTGGAGGAGAAATTGAGAACTAATAACTGTAAAAAAAACTTTTTTACAGTTAGGTAAATTGTTGGCAAGAAAAATTATAAGTTAGGTAAATTAATTTTTAAAAAATATAAAATAAAATAAATTAAGGTATTATATTTAAGATAAAATTTAACCCTTAATTAGTTTTTATATTAAAAATAAAAAGGAATGTAAATTTTTACCCAAAAAAATCAAATTTTTATCTATTACGAAGAAGAAGGTGAGCTAATAAGAGACAAGATTATCATTCCTCACTGTATCCTCAATAGACTAAGTGGGATTAAGCTTATTGACCCCCCAACCTTCATGTGACAATGTAGTTGTTTTGATTTTACTGGACAGGTCTAACTTTTTTAAGATAGATAGAGGAGTAATTATAAATACAAAATATCTCCCAATATTAATATTGTGTTTGGTTTACTTCTGAAATCATTGTCACAGGATAAACAAGGTTAGGCAAACTCATATCCATCAACCATTATTCTCAATGAAAAGGTAGTTGATCGCATTCTATAAATTAACTTGAATCAACAATAGTTTGGGCAATCATACCTAGTAATACATGTCCATAAGTTACTTAATGCCCTTTCATTACGTTTTGATTGTCCATGGGCGAAAATATTCAACTTCTTCGGTGTGATTTTGCTAAAGCTCTTTGTTTTCCAGCAATCCCTTTTCAGCTTTTAGGTTGATAGTACTTTCGGTCTTTGGATTTACCTAAAATTTTTGGAATTCATTTATTTCTTTCAGCAGTGACTTGTTTTGGTTTTGATGCATTTCATGTAACAGGATTGTATGGTCTTGGAATATGGGTGTCTGATCATTATGAATGAGATTTTATAATTAGAATCGGAAGTAATACTTTGGCGATATAAAAAGAAAAGAGGACACACCTTCGTCATGAATTTTGAAAAGTTGATGTTGAAAGAATTATTATTCGAACTATTGAAGTGATATTTCATCAATTTAGCCTTTACCTATGAAGATCATGCCAGATCCATGAGTTCTCCCCATCTGAACAGTGTCTGTGTTAGGTGTCTGCAGGAGAATGAACAGCAGCAGTTTCCCCCCAAGTTTTTGTTGGGTTAATTTCGAAGGAGAGCTACTGCACAAAAATAAAAATTGGTTATATTTCAGATCCCCATGACCCAAACATGGCTTTATATGTGTCATCGCTCGTGTTAATTGGAACTTTTGTTGATTAGAAAAGGATTTGCAAAGTTATAGTAATTTTTTTTTGAATTAAAGAGGTAGGCGTTTGTTTTTGTGAGCAAAAGAGATAGGCGTTTATAGAATGAGATTATAAATGGCATTAAATTTACGATCTTTTACTTACTTATAAGAGAATTTTCATGCTTGTAACTTGTGAGCAGTTTGTTCACATTACATCATAATCATAACTAATTTCTAAGTTAATTTCAGTATTTACTTCACTAATCAAGTTATGCAGTTAGCCTGTCTAAACATTTATATGCGATATATATCACTTTTTATTTTTTTTTGGCGACGAGAGGTAACATGTTGCATTAGATATATCTTATTAGATAAAATAGCAAAGTTCCAGATTAAAAAAAACTAAGAAGAGTAGCATAGTATAAAATTAAAATTTGAGGGATCTACAATCAAATTTTGATACGAAAAAAGTTAATACACAAGTGCTAACTTTAAGCCGATTATGTTTATTAAATTTTTTTAATTTAAGAGGCAAGTTATTTTAATTTAATTTTGATGTTTTTTTTTTTGCCAGAAAATTTTTTTTGATGTATTTTAAAGAAAAGGAAAATTGAGAAGCCAACCCATATAAAAGGGCAAAAAGTAGCCGTTGGAGACCCTGCCCCTCTCGCATAAGAAAGCAGTTGAGTGATAAAAGGGCAGAGGTTACCGTTGAAGAACACCGCCTCTTGTGTTAGTACAAAAGAAACGCGCCCGGCAAATCGGCTTAAAGTTTGAAACACCAACGTCTTAATCAAGAATCTCAGAGCAAGTGTGAGAAAGTCGAACGAACGAGAAAGCTGAGAAAATATTTTCTCCTGCAGGTTACAACCTTATCTGTTAATGTTTTTCTTCTTATTCTTGCCTTTTCTTTTTCCTTTGAAACCGTTCTTAACTTGTCTGGTATGATAATGATTGGATTGAGGTTGAGTGTTAGGGTTTCGTGGTTTCGACTGGAGGACTGAAAGCCTGACCGTATTTTCTAGCGAAGAATTGGCTGAAGGCGCGACTAGATCTAATTGATTTTATGAAAGCGCTCTCTGTTTTCCCCCTATTGTCATAGGTTCATTATTGAAAGGATTTTCCTTGTCTTCTTTTCTTGTGAGGGGATCTATGTTAACCCTTGAGGCCTTTGATGCACGGGAAATTTGCACAAGTCGAAGCATAAAAAATTCTTGTCTGTTGGTTGGAAGTTGTTCTACATGTTTCCTTAAAGTCCTTTTTTTTCCCTCTAGCTATCTTTGGATATCATGTGAACCTTTTTTCCCTTTGATTTTTGATGATAGATAACGGAAGTTAGAGTTTTTATATGAAAAATAGTATGCAGGGGTTGTGGACTTCTTATGTTCAAAGAAATTACTTTTTGGGGCAATTTTCCCTTTTTAAGTTCCTAGAGCCATTTGATATCTCATATTTGTTTATTTACCAAATTTTCTTCCAATTCCAGGAACTTAATTCAGAAATTGCGAGACAAGTACAAATGGCAGCACGAACTGGTCGTTTGCTTCAAGATCCGAATCTTGGTATCCAGATGGATGGTATTGTAATTACTAATTTAGTTTTGTTGACACTAAATTGATTTTTTATTTTTAGTCATTCTAAGACTAATTTTTCTAACACTCTCAGGAGCAACTATTTGTGCCAAGGCAAATTATACAGGACAGAGGAAGGTAGGGGCTGGTGGGAGAAAACCACTCGGTGATTTATCTAACTCAGAGAAGCTTTCTACTCAAGGAGGTGGAAGGAAGGCACTGGATGCATTAAACTCAGGCAAACAACTGAAGTCTAAGGAGCTTGCTACTATGAAAGAAGAAGTTGTTCCTGTCAAGATAAAAAAACTTGAGAGTAAAAGATCTGCTCCCAAAGCTTCAGGGAAGTTACCCAGTGGTAACAGGAAAGCACTTTCTGACATTTCCAACGTTGGGAAGATTAAAAATAAAAGTAGCCAGAAGCCAAGTGCCTTGGCAGAGGAACATCTTCGTCTCAATGCAATTGCTGAAGAACAATGCCTGCACAATCATCAAGAGTGTATCAAATCACAAACTGAAGATATGGGTTTGCACAATTTGTTAAAGAGTCTTGGTCTTGAAAGTGGTAATTGAAGTTATTTGTTCCCAAAGCTCTTTTTGCTTTTAAGAGATTTTTTTCTGAAACATTTTGGTACAACTTGAGATTCTCACATAATAAAATAGAGTGAGAATCATACCATAGATCTTATGGTGTGAGAAAGCTTCGCCTCCTGAAAGTGTTTCTTAAAATCACTATGAGAAGTTTATATTTTTTGTTGTTTATTGTTTTTGTTTGGGACTTGAGTTACTCATTCTCAGATATATGTATTTTGAACAGATTCAGATGAGAAGTTGGCGTTTTCTTCTGAAGTTCAAGCATTTACTAAACTCAAGGTTGGCGTGTAACTTCTCCTGCTTCTGCTGAGTTTTGCTTTTTCGGTTTTTCTGATTAAATATTGCTCATTCACTTATAGCCCAAGAGTGATCTGCAATGCTTGGAGTTGGAAGAGGTTCCTGAGAAATTGCCTGAAGTGGAGTTATCAAGCAAAGAGCCATCTTTAGCAACTCAGCATGCCTCTCCAGCACGCTGCAAGTCTCCAAAAATCTCGAGTTGCTATAAGATGTCGGAGGACTTTGATGTCAATTTCAAGTTGATAGAGACACCAAAGCCATCTAAGTTTTAATTTTACTATCAATCGTGTAAAAATTGCTTGATGTCTCTTTTCTGCCACTGATGTGATGGCAATTATGTGTCTATTTTGTACGATGACCTTAACTTTCCTTTAGCTAGTAAGATTTAGTATGAGCGTTATTAATTTTTCTCCCGAAGGTTGTTCTTATCACAATCTTCTTATAGCCTTGAAAGAGGAAATCATGCGAATGTCCTTAACTTTTGACTCGGATGAAAATGATAACACAACTGATTTGGTTAAATATGGTTTTGAGAAACTAAGAACACTTCAGTCATCTTCGCATTTTGAACAGGACTAGTACTCTCAAATGTCTCAGGAAACTCTCTTCGGTTTTATGCCATCAAACTTATTTTGTATTCGGACTGGATTATTTATAACTACTTTTCAATTATAACTAGCTAGCTCTATATTGGAAAACATTAGAACGATTTCACCTTTCATCATTGAAAGTTGTTGGAAAAAATTATATTTAAGAGTTTTATACCCATATAGTCTGACTGACCTAAACAAAACAAGTGTGGACCTAGTATGGTTTCTGGAAAGCAACTGGATATCCAAAAGAAAAATATTAAGTTCAATGATACACAACTTGTAAATAATACTATATTAAACTTTTATTGATATATTTGAAAAACAAATTCTTTCTGTTCAAATAAACGCATGCACGTGCACACAAGCTTTTGACAATATCAATTTACTGAAAAAATATGGATAGAATTAAAAATCGCTAGAACTTCTAGAATGGTTCTATGCTCAACCTCTCCTTGATGATGACCGTGATCTTTGTGAAGGCTTCAAGTTAATCCTAATGCTGAAAATGAGAGGGAAACATGGGGAAAATTAGATGGCTATCATTGCATTAGTAAAAAAAAGAAAGAGGCATGCACTTGGGAAGTTAATTGTATATATAGTAGCTAGGTTGTCCACTCACTTCTTTTGGACATGAATGTATTCATCAGTTTCATCCAGTATGTCTCCCTTACAAATAGAAAAAGTAAGCAATTGGCACGTTAAGAGGTACAATGTGGCGAATATTTAAGGAATCAAATCGGAACAAGTTATAGCCTTTAGCAGAAAAACTGGGGTGTTGATAACAGGAACAACTAACCTGTAATAGTTCCTCCATAACATCTTCCATAGTGATGATGCCAATTGCTTCCTCATCCAAGACAGTTGGAAAAGACTCTATTTCTTCTTGTGAAACATATTTACCTTCATGTTCCCATGATTGCATCAACTGCTGGTGCATTTCATTGTCTAGTTCTATCACACTGTGCAGTGTTGCACTGTGATATTTAGTGTCCCGAGAAGACAAAGTGGATTCATAAATGGAAGCACTGCGATTCTCTTCCAATTTAAAGGAAGGGTTATATTCTGCATACAGAATCAAGAAAAACAATCTTAAAATCAGTCTCATTTATGAAGCTGCCTTCAACATGATCCAATCTGAGCCATGCCGGCCTGGCCCAAAGACTGGTACAATCTCAAAGAAAACATAATAGCTTTGATAAAATGCTAATTTAAAAGCCATCTGAGCCATGCCGGCCTGGCCCAAAGATTGGTACAATCTCAAAGAAAACATAATAGCTTTGATAAAATGCTAGTTTAAAAGCCATATGATGCTACCTTTATTGATCTGCACTTCATTTGGTAGTTTATCTGTAATCATGTTAAAATAAGTAGGGGTGCTAGCATTCTGAGCTGTAGTTTTCTTAGCGTTTTTGCTTTCCTTCAACACAACGGCCATATGGCTGTGACCCTTCTGGAATTGATTCAGCATGTCGTAAAGCGGCCAGTTTTCATAAACCCTGTACAAGATTATGCCCAGTTTATACTGAAGTTAGTTATTACACAGTTTGAGAAATAAGAATAGTGATAACGATTAATTAATGCGGGCATGAAAACTACCAGCAGAAATTATCTAATGGCTAGGCATGATGTTGAAACTCAGATGGGATATATGGATTATCAAAATACGAGACATACAGAATTTCTCATACCTAGGAATTTTCCTGATTATCAAATTCTTGATTGGGGTCTCATCTTCTGGGCGGCAGAAAACTAGATTCTTAACCTGCAAAAAAAGAATTGCAAAGCATGAATAAATGCTAGGGAATTAATGATTATTGGATTTGAATCTCGAAGACTAAATTTGAGGTTTAAGAACTGTTATAAGTCTGCAATTTGTATGGATATATGAATGGTACTAAGCTATCCAAATTATGCATATCAAATAGTTAAAGCAGAAACCGTATTCAACTTCATTCCATTAAAAGGTACGTACCAATATGAGGCCAATGATGTTTCTTGGAGTTCCAGAGTATATAGGTATTCGACTGTGACCTTTGCTAGTTATTAGAGTCATTGTATGCCTGGAGATAAAGTTGAACTATACCGATAAAGGAAGACAGGAGGAAAAAGGGGAAAATAACATATATATATCAGTAGAAACTTGAGCTATTATGACATATTACATGTCCAATTTGGAGTTTATGTCAAGGGAAAAAACTTCAGAGAGGAGGGTCATTGCATCTTTTGCTTTCTTCTCAGTCAAATCCATTGCACCTGAGATTATTGAAGTTTCATGATGAGATAGTTCTCCTCCTTTCCCTGCCTGCATATTAATAATTTAGCCACATGCAGGTTCAGTGGCTCTTAAACTTCATGGATTTTAGTTCAGAAAGAACAGAGAAAGGACGTGAATAAACCTTATTTGAATGTAAGTCCACAAATGTTTTAAGCTCTGATCTTCTTAGGAGAACTGAGTGCTCTTTCCCAAGAGTCCAATCCAGAAGCTGCATGCCATAACGGGAAGATCTTCAGGTTATGCTTTTTCGGAGAATCGAATCTGCTAAAAAATTCTTATAAAAGGCCACTTGCCTTTCAGATAGTTGAGGTTATGCTTCAGTTTGTCTACTTGTTTTTATAAAATAAAACTTTTGGGAGTCTCATGTTGGCATGTACTCCTTTTTAGTCTTCTTTAATGTTTTCTTCAGGTTTACCACATACAGCTTAAGGGTTTTCAGTTTTACTCTATCCGAGATCTCAATTGTCTAAAACATTCAAATGCCACCTCAGTCCCTTAAAATATGTAAGAATGAACAGCCAAAAGATCTTGGACATGATAAGATTGAAAACCCTTAAGTTTGTATAAAAAATCCATAACCTATATAACGTATAATAATTAAATATATGTTCTTGGATTTTCTAATAATATATATTTTATTCTTACCTTACTAGCAGGATAGGATATGGGAGAGAAGATGACAAGAAGGAGCTGAACAAAGGGAACCATCTTTGCTCCTAAAGTTAGTCCATAACGGGCTGCCACAGCTTGGGGAACAATCTAACAACAGAAATTATGGTAACCAAGTTAAATATTCGAACTCATAATGAATTGATTGATTCTAATTCTTTTGATTGATTTCTTTGGATTTTCACAACCAGGTTAAAAAGAATATATATGAACATAATTACCTCCACAAAGACAGTGACGAGGGGAGCTGATGCTAGAATAGCAAGCCAGAAGGGAAGTATTCTGTCCAGAGCAACTGGCATTGCCTTACATTATAAACATCAAATTAATGTCATTCTCTTCTTAGTCATAAGTCCAACGAACAAATATCATTATCAGGTTTTAGGCTTTCAAATTATGATTCAGATTCATTAATAACTTTTGAAGTATAAAAACGATGTGGAGGATGTTATGCATGCACACATTATCATACCTCTGCAGCAAGTGATTTGCCAATAAGGAGAGTACAGAGGACGAAGTGGCCATTCTTTACAAATGGTGAAATCCTTGCTGCAAATATAAACCAATGATAATAAAGCAACAACAGATTTACAATAATCAAACAATGCAGAGCGTGGTGACGTGGTTTTCATCAGAAACCTGCATTTTTTCTGTCGTTTGGGCTACCAGCTTTAATAAGGACCTCAAGATCAACCTGGGAGAACGATAACAGTCCCAGAGCCAGACCTGAAGCAATGCCTGCCAATAACACGAGCCCCAGAAAGGCCACAAGAAGAAGCCAGAAGGTCCTTTCACAACATGGGAACTCTACTTCTTCCATTATAGCACCTTATAGCTAAACGATCTAACAGTTAAGAAGAAGAAGATTGTGTGTGCATATATACGCACGCCAGAAAGATTAGTACGTTTATATTTACACATTCGCACTGCATGTGGCTTTTCAAGGGGAATGGTTGCTGCTGGTTCTGTGTAAAAGACGTATAAAAAGACAACCCATAATGTTGAAAACAGAAACTAGATTTTATTTAAGACAAAAAAATTGGGGTTGATTAAAAGGGTGATCTTTGTTGTAAGTATAACATCGAAGCACTAAGGTGCTGGCGGAGAAATCAAGTTTAGCGATTAAATGTTTGATGAAGAGATGACAGTCAGCAGTATGATGTGGCTTTGAAACGGTAGGACGGCCGCTTGAAAGGAATGGCTATCTTAACAAGAAGCTGGCTTTTGTCCTCCACACAGACTGATCTTCCAACTCGGAGCTTCTTGTCCATTGCTCAATCCCGAGCTCCACTCTTACCAATAATCCAAATATACAAACGGCTCGTCCTCTAATTTATTATAGAAATGGAATTTCCTATTTAAACTGAGCACAGAAAACTAGAAAGAATGTAACAAAAATTAAAATGAGAGAATAGACAGTACATTATTAACTTAATTTTTTTTATAAAGGACGATAAAAACTTCTAAAAAAATTTAATGTAATAAAAAAATAAAACACTATATTCAGGATAATAATTTTTTAACAATAGATTTTGAAAATATTTATATAGATTTAGAAAAACGTATTTAAAGTTTAAAATGCTTAAGAAGAAAACTAAAAATTTTAGGAGAGAAAAGTCAAGATTTTGGTTATAAAATATAAACCGCAAAAATTATATTAACTTTTGAATAATGAATATTATGAATAGGCATCTCATATCAACAAATTCAAGAACTCATAGGGCTTCATTCATGCTAGCTTCCTTTTTTTAAAAATAAAACAATCGCACACAATTTTCATATTATACTATATAATATTTTTAGTTGGCTACCTACGGGAAAGCTTAGGTCCTTGATTTTATATATTTAACATCTACTTATTTTGCTTTCTTTAGGCAAAAATATATCAAATATAAAAGACTACGCAATTAAATTTTTTTGTACAATAGTACAATCCTATTACTCAATTCTAGGAAGCAAAGCATATCCAATATTATAACTTGTAGTATCTTAACAGTTTTATGTTATATATGGGTGCCTCTAAAATATAATTCAGCTTGTCATCGTTTTTTATATTTTGTATTTTATATTGATTTAAACGATTGTATTTTTTCTACTTCAATTATATTTGGGTTATGAAACTCAAGAAATAAATTTGTTCACGAATTATAAATATTCCAGTTTGTTAGATATTTTATTTACGATATCAACATTATTTGATGATTAACATTTTTTTAATTTTAATAAATTATCAAATAAATAACTCCACATCCAAGATTTTGCTAATGGAAAAAAATAGATATTATAATACTCGAGCAGGGCAACCAAACTAGACATATTAATTAGTTATATGGAAAATAAAATATTGTTAACTATAGAATATTTATTACAACTATATCTGTTAAAATTTCTCAATTACAAATTTATATTTCACATTATGATAAAACATCGTAATGAATGTAGATTGATGAAATTAAATTATGCCATGATTATTTCAGTCAACATTTAATTAAAATCATTTGATATCAATCAATATTAATGTCATTTCTATATTAGATGAAAATGTCCGCTAGCGTCGGGCCCAAAAAAAGTTCACTAATGGCGCTTGGAATTACCTAAAAGTCACATGTTACCTGAACATATTTGGTTTTAAATTTATTTAATGAATTTAATTTCTTATTCATTCACTTGATCACAATATATTATTACAAGTTTGTACCAAATATATATTTAAATCCAACATAATAAAACTAGTGTACTTTTGTTATTTAAAAAATAATAATAATAAAGAACTAGTGTCCTTTAAATCCAACATCTTTCATTCCTCAAAAATTAATTCCCATATCAAACATGCAGACAAATAGCACCAGAATTAAGGTTCTCGACAATCATGAAAATGACGAGCAATAATCAGTATAATTGACTGATATTTTCCTAACTGATGCAGTTTCCATATATAATACATGATTCTGCATGCAAACTGCTTCATCTCTTGCCTATAAATTCTGTGCATTGAGACCTTCCTCATCATCTCAAAAAAGCTCTCCAACTGTGTTATTAACAGCCATGGAATCTGCAACTATCATGAAGATTCTTCTTCTTCTTCATATGCTTCTAGCTTTTGCCGTTCATGATGCTGATTCTGCTCTTCCTCATTCATCTCTTTGTTATTCTCCATCTCTATCTCCTTCCCCTCACGATTCTCCATCACCAATCCCGGTGCCAGAAGTTTCCCCGCCGTCTCCTACTACACTGCCGCCCCCACCCGCCGTTGATACTCCCGCACTATCTCCTTCCATAGATGAACCAGTGCCGGTGCCAGAAGTTTCTCCACCATCTCCCACGACACTGCCACCCCCGCCACCAGCTCCTCTTCTTCCACAACCACCACCTGTTCCTCAGATTCCTCCTCCAGAAGATGATCCCATTGCGCCACCTCCATTGTCCTGCGAGGACCAATGTATGCTGAAATGTGCAGAGAAAAAAGGATTTCGTCGATTGTTCTGCATTGGCAAGTGCTTGGCCATGTGCCAGATATTTCCGCCGGCCAATCATGCCGGTTATCAGTGTACTCGAGACTGTGTTATGAACAAACTCCACCATCAGCAAGGCAAGTATATTACTTAATTAAAACTCTTCATTGTATTGTCTGATTCATTTTCTTTTTTGATATATTCTTCTTGTTCAAGTTCTGATGAGATCAAATTGTGTGTTTTCGCAGATATTAAGAGTATAGACGGCTTGGTGAACACTTGTTACAATAACTGCTCTGAGAATGTCTAAAAGCGCTTCACATTACAACTGAAAGAGGATATTTAAAAATTTATGATTAAGCATACTGGCTTGTAATTCCTTTTACTATATGTATTAGTCATTCAAAAATAGATAATAAGAGGCTTTAATTTCCACCATATCATGTGTTTTCTCCCCATTTTCCTTTCTGTTTCTTGCTTCCAGTCTGTTTGTTCTTGTGCACCTGGCGCTAATTTTCCCTTAGAAAGGAAAACTACCCTTTAACGATCTCTTTCGCTCCGTTTTGTGGATGTTTAGAGAACAAGGGACAAAAGAGTAAAAAAAAGGTTTCATTCAAATTTTAATTAATAAATGATTTTAATTATTAATTATAGCTCAATAACGAAGGAATCTAGACCTTCAAACTTCTGGCTCTCTTGCAGTTTTCAGGTGCCCCAAAATAGAAATGACTTAATTTATATTTAAAGGCCATATAACGTGCGATCGGTCTTTTGTCTATAAATTTAAATTTATGAAATACTCGTAACTTCTAAATTTCAGTATTCTTTTTAAATTTCAATTTTACTCTCTCTTTAACGATATCTTAATTATTACTTGAGATTCTGTTGACAAAGGTCCGTAACGAAGCTGGACTTAAGATATGACAAGGGTCAGCTTTTGTTGTGAGGAGAGACTGCTTTAAGATCTTTCGTTGTTTGAAAGTTTAGAAGAGAAGAAGGCAAGATTTTCAACTATTAATCCAAAATCATCCAATTTTTCCTTCTTTTATAATATACTGTTTCTCTAGTTTGGTGGATTTTGAATGAGAAAATTTCCTTCTTTTATTGATTTCCGTGTTTTTAAGATAATGAATGAGTTATAATTAGTTAATTATAAGAATCGAGTTGCATTATATTAATATTCAGATACTACGTTATAACAAAGCTAAAACTATAGAGACAAAATTATCAAGTTAAAGTCTAAAGATTTGGAAACCAGTTTCGGTACTCATCCTTTAATAAGCACAATAATCTCATCAGATCTATATCATTTATATTTCATTTAAATAGTTCAAATTTGATTTCTCTTTTATTTTTATTTATTTAAAATAATTATTTTAATATGTATAGAATCTAAAATAGTGATGATCTCTTAACTATCATTTTTTTCAAAAAAATATTTTTTTTCATTTAAAAATAAATAATTAAAGATTTTAAATCTGGACTGTTCAAATTAGATATAGACAGTCCAGATCTAATGAGCTTAAAATATTCATCAAAGTGATAAACACCGAAACTGATTCCAACACTAAGTCACAAATGAGTTAAAACCATGAGGATCAAATTATTAATTTTCCTAAAAGCAAGAAAGTTAAATGACATTGAAATATTTTCCCTTTTCAAGTGACTACTCTGTTTTTTATTCATCATCAGCAAGCCACTCTCGTAAGAAATAATGTTGTAATGCTTTGTGCAAAATGAACATGTTCTCGGTAAAATAGAATGCCAGAATCATGTGAATATAAAAGAATGAAAAAGAATATACAAACAAGTCCACAATGGAGACAAATGCACTGATCGAAAGGCATTACCTTTCGATTAACATTAAGTGCAATAAAAATTACAAATTGTGATAGCATCCGCATCGCTTCTTTTCCCTTACCTTTTACCTGCTATACACAATCACTTGGCCAAATGCGTCCAACAATCCACAAGAGTTCACCTGTAACATAAAAGGTTTTAACTTTCGTTTTGATGCGTTTGCTTCATTTTTGCTGACTCTGGGGAAGAGTAAATCATTGAGTTGTCTCTCAGCACTGTACTCGGATATGGCCTGCAAAGATAGTATTTAGTATCTGCAAAATTGACCCAGGAGAATGTGAACACGTGAATATGTGTGAGCTCCCAAGAATTCCCCAGTTGCACCTCTTAGCTACTGTTTGGTATGAGGGACATAGAGGGAAAGGGAGGAGAAGGAAAATTTCAATGAGCTCTACTTAAAAAATTGGAAAAATAGGGTCTTGAAATTTTAATAAAGAAAAGAAGTAATATAAAAGAGTAATAAAAATTAATTAAAGCTTTTGACCCCACTTTTTAATTTTTAAACAGACCTCATTGAAATTTTCCCTCCCCTCTCCTCCTCTCATTTTCCTCATACCAAGCAGACCCTTGGCATGACAACTATCTTTTGTTCAGTGGGCTCAAAAGATTACTTTTAAGTGACTTTAAGACATCCCCCGACTTGACTTTGCTGGTTTAGAGGGATAATGCAGGGAATAACCATATAAAATGGAGAATGCGTAGCATGGGGGGAAAAAAATCTGATTTACCCTTTTCTTAAATACGAATCTCAATGTTTGAACTTGAGTTCCTGAGCAAACCCGTAGGTCAAATCCGAGGGAGTCCACACAGATAAGTTGTGCTTCCTGCATTGCAACCAAGAGATAACATTGACAGCAAAAACACGTGATATATGTGCGTATGACAAGCAAAAAGCTTTAAATAAGAATGGATGACAAGGGAGCTGATAAATTGCACAAATGGTTTAGCCATTCTTATGATCTTTCGACAAATTATTGCCCAGTTGTAACTTAGGAGTTCTCATTTAGAAAGCAACATCTGAAAACGTGTTGCCAAAATTATGGGTAGCCTGGTACTACCAATTTTACTAGTTCAAAATATACAAGAGATTGCGTATTTCTTTCTAGTTAAATAGATAGCTTAAAATATCAGTGAAAAGCATCTATGGAAATCACGTATGGCATGAGGGACGTTGGACGAAGTTATCCAAAGAGTTCGGTATTACCTCCACTTGTATGCCCTTACATCTCCAACAGAGAGACTTCAAGGCTTGTGTGGTCTTTTCTCCATCAGCTTTCAGACGAGATACGATCTTAGAAGCTGAGTGAGCAATCGCGTCAGGCTGAGCTTTCATGTAGTGTTCTACTTCGAGGTCAGCCTACAGAGAATTGGAATAAGCAACTTTATTTTTCAAGCAAAACTGTAAACACATCATAGGTAACAGTCATCCGATTACTAATTTTAACCCAGACTGAATACGTAATGTCTCATTTTATACCCTAGGGAAGCAATAGGATCTACATCGTTGACTTGTTAAAATAACACATGATTAAATTCATCTGCATTACATAGTAATTAAAAAACATATCTGAAGACGTGCAAAAAAGTTTTACACTAGAGAACGTGAGAATATACTCTAACCCCACTGAAGTCGCTTTATAGCTTCTCCTATAAGTATAGAATTTATAGTTAGGCTTCTCTATGGTGACTGGAGAGCAAATAATAGAAGCATCATCTCAGGTGATATTCTGCTCTAACAACTGGGAGTATTAGGAAGTAAACAAGAAAAAAAGGGGCGGAAAAAAAAAAAAAAGAAAAGAAGGAAAAAGCCCACTCATGTTCAAATGCAAACAATACAAGTCCACAAACATACCGGATGTCCATGGGCAGAAAAAAGCTGAATCTTGACCATTTCCAGTTTGAAAAATGAACTCGCATTGGCAGGAATATCATTATTCTCCAACTGTGATGCATTATCTCTGGATGACGGTGGATTATGCACTTGACCATTAATCACACCAAGATTTTTTCCACTGTTATCTTTGGGTTCATTCATGTCAGTATTGCTGGACAGATTGGTAGACAAATGCTTCTGTATGACAGATTGTTCTTCAATAAAGGCAGGTCTTAACAGACCTTGGATAGCTAGGCAAGCCGGTGGCTGTTCCATCCAATCAATTGGATCGCCTGAAGCAATCTAAATGATGACAAAAAATAGACAGATATTTTTAATTGACTACCTTAAGTCCATGTATAATTACAACAGAAAAGTTTCTAAAGACCACAAAAGTTACTGTCCTGTCATCTTAAAGGCACTGCCAAGCTCCTTACTATAGTAAACTCTATCTTTGAAATTTACCTCTGCCAACTTTTTGGCAAAATACATTGGATCAGAATAAGAATGCATAGTCCCCAATTTCGCCCAGCCTTCCAGTGTTTCATCAGCCTCGTCTTGCCCATCCTCATCTGAAAAAACTGCAACCCATTCCTGCAAACAACTGTTAATTGTTATACTTACATTAGGAAATGATTCTATAGATCAGAAGCACATTTGAAAAATAAATCCAACCGAATCATAATCATCATTCCCATCTTCATCTTCATCCTCTTCATCATCGTCCTCTACATCACTACTGTCTTGATTATCAAATTCTTCGATCCCGAAGTCAATTTCTGAAGCAGCTGATAAGTCCATTTCACTGATCATTTCCATGGTATCAACACCAACAATAACTTGCTGCAACTCACAGAACAGTAAGCATGATTACAAAACAATAAGGTGGTAAAGGTTAAAGATACAAAATAAACATTGAGTCATGAGGTTGAATGGAAGAAAGAAAGGAAAAGTGAATGATTTATATAATCTCCCAAGCATTTGAATATAATCATGGGATAATGTAACATTGGGCATGATCATTTGTGTTGAATGTTGTATAAGGACAAACAGCAAGCCATATAATGAGAATATAAAATGATTGTTAAAGTTGAAGCCCAAATGATTGCATTTTTGCATTTTGCTGACAATGATAGACTATAGCATCCAAGATGTTGACCACATAAATTTCTGGTTCACAAGATGATTTTCATACAATAACGAGGTCATTATATCCCGTAGCTATGACCTTTTTTTGGTAAGAGTACCAGAATTTATAATGACTTCAAAAGAAGCAATCTTTTCCTGTGTTTGCTGTTGTTCTTTTTAAATGGCTGGGTAAGAATTGAACCTCACAAAACACGAAGTTTCCTTCTTTGATATCCAACCAGGCAATCAACAATAATTTAAATAAGCACAGTAACAATGTATATAGCTAAAGTTTCCACTCAGTAAGAGAGAAAGATAAAGAGACGTGAGCATCACCCCCCCCCCCAAAAAAAAAAAAAGTTACAAACAGATGAGACTGAGATTGCTTTAAGTATGCTTACATGCACATTTAGGTAAAAAAATTAGAGCTTAGACATTCTCTAGAAATTACCAAAAAAAAAAAAAAAATTGCCCATACCACGAAGTTATTTTCTGAAGTTAGGGATTGGAAAATATCTTCACCATTCTTCACTTGAAAGTATATATCTGAAATGCACAGCATTTAATGGGTGGTTGAGCCATCCGAACACAAGAAAACTTACAAGTATGCATAGCATAAATGACAAACACCTTGCCCCCACTTACTTCCATGCTCATCAGTCAAATAGGGCATATCAGGCCAAATAATATTTTCATGAGCTTCGTCATTGATCAAGCTTGAGAACATCAGTGTTGCCTTACTGTTGACCTAAAAATGGCCAATCAAATCATTATCTGCTGCATTCTGAGTTGTATCATTCGGATGATAATGATAAGTCTAAATAAAAATTTCCACAATCTTGGTCTTGATTCTAATTTTATAGAAACAAATTGTCAAAGGGTATAGAATCTTAACCCTCATTATGTTCAGGTAGATAGATTCTACTCTCTCTCTCCAAATTACTTCATCTTCTGGCAAAGCCAATCAATTTAATGCCTTGATAACTTTTCTAGCTTCAATTTTATTAGCAGTTTACATCACCACCCAAGTTCAATCCTGTATACCATCATGTACCACAAGGAAAAGAAAATAATACCTCAATGATTGTTCTACCGGTTTCTGCTGTTGTAAGCCTGGCATCTCCATTATTCTCTAATGCCGAATCGGCAATTTCCTCAAATGGATGGTAAGATGGCTTTCCATTTGGCTCTACAGGACCCTCAGCTGAGCTTGAACGCTCTGCTGATGCTTGAATTCTATTCTTTACAAGTTTGTCCCGTCGTGTGAAGAGAGTTCCAATGGATTTTTTACTTCTACCCCTGTGCATTTATAGTCTCTATTATAATTTTCGTCCGATAAAATTATGTGCTGTTATGCATTACAGGTACGCAAATTCTTAACCGAAACGTTACGGCGTAGAGATAAGACAGTTCAAAATCTTACGTTTTAGGAAATCGTAATCATCACCACGTTTTCAAGAAGCTTTAACAGAGACCATGAAAGGGTAGGGAAGTGGCATTCTACACGACTGAAGACACTGGCCAATTGGTTCAACAAGTCAATCTAATTAACAAAGTCTGACGCCCAAGCTCATTGGTCTCATCATAGGTTTCCCAAAGGAAACTTCTCTCCTGGGACTGTTTAGAATAAGTTCTCATTTATTATGTTTGATCCTTATTTTATCAAGAAAGTCGAAATAAGCTGGGACAGCACTACTTTTCAGCCCCTATTCATTAAAGTTTCAATATTTCAAGACTAAATTTTCAATTTCATATGGGCACATACTCGGGAGGATAAGAAGTCTCAAACAGAGAGTGAGGTCTGAGTACCATGGCGTGTCAAGACAGCAGGCACGAGCAATACGGGAGGAAGCAGCATGGACTAGCCCGTTTACATCATCTGTGCTCCACATTGAACGGTTATCTACGAAAGACGAATACGTCAGAATCCATTCATCACGACTCCATTTTCGACACCTAAGAGGATGCTCAATGCAGGATAGACTAGACTTGTGAAGACTATAACATTGCAGAAAGCTAACTTCCTGATCTTGCCGCTTCCAACATGGTAGCTTTCAGAGCTTAAACGGCAATCATGGAAGCAATGAAAGCATTTGGAGAAATATAAATGAGCAAAGTAAAGGGTTCAGAGAAAACGAGAGAGAGAGGGTGTACAAGATAGGGCAGGGGCCGAGAATCGGGCGGCCATGGTTGGTTCGATAATCATCATCGTCAGGCGTTCAAATTGTGAAGAGTATGATATTATCCACAAGCATTTTTTCAGTTCCAAGGGAAGAGTGCGGGAGGATGAGGCGCTCTTGGCTTTGTTGGGCTATGATCTTGTACAGCGTCCCCACAGTCTATCCGGACGCCTCTCCTAATCTGATTGGTGCATCATCAAAGCCGAATATCCTTTTCTCGCGGGAGAATTACAATGAAGATTTAAATAAAAAAATAGAAAAATAAATTTTAAAAGTTGTTATTTTCATTACAGGATTTGTCACTATAAACTGTTAAGGTCATTATTAAAAAATTTTAATAATTATTTTTCTTTTGTAAAACTTGATTGTAATTCCCTTAGCTTTATATCCAAAAGGCAGTTGTCTGACCACAGAAATTAATGAACTACCATGCTAATTGGACCAGCCACTGAAAAAAAAGGATTAGCAGGGGCACCGTTCGCTGGTAATAAAATCGGTCTCAGTTAAAATAATATAATTTAAAATTATGTAAAAAAATATTATACACAAATTTATCCATATTTTCCTATGGTAAAGCACAACAACATTACAAATAATTAAAATCATCAAATATCTCATATTACTGAAAATTTTGATTGAATTTGAGTGTAGTAGTGGGAAAAAAAAAGGAGCTTAAAAAAGGCTTTCTCCTCCCATATCGCCCGTAAATTAAAGATTATGATGCGTTGGATTGTTAGAAAAATTAACTTAGAATGACATGGTGTGGTAAAGGATTTCAAATCATTCATATATCTTCTAAAAATAGAAAAAGACGCCGGACAAAAGTTAATCATTTAACAAAAAGCTAATATTTTCTGAAAGTTAATCTTATTTTAATTTTGGTCCGCTCCCTAAAATTTGAAACCAGTAAAATATTGTTCCAGAAATATAAAAAAAATTAGACTGATTAAAATCAAATCAAATTTCAATATTGTAATTGTTCGTCCTTGGAAAATATGAAATTTTTTGAATTATTTACCATGTTAATCAATTACATGTAAGATTTTAGATTAAGCTAATCAAGGTAATGAAATGTCTGCATTTGTGTGTCCAATCACTTTATAATTCTAAAGAACATATGCTCCGAATTTACCCGTGTAAGAATGTAAAACAAAATATAGACTAAAAGGTCAAGGCACTTTTTTTTTTTTTTAAAAATCAAAGTATAGATATCTTCTGATTGGAAGTAATTCTATTCGAGACACTGTTAGGTACTAAATATAGGCATCTCTCTTAATAGGAATTCGAACTTTGATTCATCATATTATGAAGAACTAATCCCTTCTATTATATCCAATCAGACGCAGAACATACGCTTTGGAATTTCCAAGTCCACGTCCAAAATGTCTAAGTCTTCCACTTGAAAAGGAAGCACGCAAATGACACTTTTCGTATTGCGTTATTAAGCGCAAATCAACTTTCAAAAATATGAGCATTAGTACAACTTCTCATTCAATAAAAGTATATTTTGAATAATCTTCAAATTATATACATTCATAATTGTTTCTAATCCCGCTTAAATTTTGGGAACACACAGATTTTTTGGGTAGATACGGCTTGAGTCTTCCGCCTCGCTGAAGCATGTCAACTTTATTTTCAACTTTGTGAAAACCATGCTTCAAATTTTCGTTTTCTTTTTCTGCCAGTATTTTCCGGTTTAGAAAACTGTATTGGTACTGTTTTACCGAATCAGAGTTGGATATATAAATCATATATATAGTATAAAACTCTCCCATTGACAACACTCTTCATTTGCAAAACTCTGGTGTGAGATCATCTATTAAACAATTATGAGTGGAGGACGTGAAAATGATAGTTTTATCTTCATCTATTAAACACTTTGGCTCTATGCTCACTGCTTCCCAATTTGAATTGTGTCCAGAATTATCATGGATATTATAAAACTTGTACTCTTTCTTCATGTTTCATTTGTTCTTTCGACGCAAGCGACAGAGGTTCCTTTGTTCAACCAGCTGCAGAAAGATGGCAATGCTTCTGTGAGATGCATAGAGAGTGAGAGAAGATCAATGCTTGCCCTGAAACAGGATTTTGTTGATCGCCATGGCGCTCTTTCTTCATGCGGAGAAGCAGAAAACAAGAAAGAATGCTGCAAATGGCGTGGTGTTTGGTGTAACCATCGAAGTGGCCATGTGGTTAAACTTGATCTCCAAAGACTTGACTCGCAAGGCACACTAGTTCCATCATTGGCTAGTTTCAATAATCTCACTGACTTCCCTAAATTCATTGCTTCTTTGACCCATTTGAAATATCTGGATCTCTCTTTCATGAATCTCAAAGGCAAAATACCTTATGAATTGCGAGATTTGTTCCGCTTGCAAGTATTATATCTTGATTCAAATCAGTTTGAAGGTGGGGCACCTAAGTCCTTGGACTTGCGCCATTTACAGGCGCTGGATCTAAGCTTCAACCATCTGAGTGGTGAAGTACATGATTTTGTCGAATCATTCGGGTGCGCGAACAATTCCCTGCAACTATTGGGTTTGTCTGGGAATCAAGTTGCAGGTCGATACCAGATCTTTCTGAGTTCTCTACTCTCGAAACTTTAGAACTTGATTGGAATCAATCAAGCGGAGCCTTACCTGCTGGCATAGGACAGCTGTCAAGTTGAGGTATTTAATTTATTCATTGGACGTAATTACTTGGAAGGTGTGGCTACTGAAACACATTTTTTAAGATTCTCGAAGTTGCAACAATTAGATTTGGCTTTTAATCACTTGGTCTGAAAAAGTAACTTATTTGTAATCTAGCTTTTGAAAAAGTAAGATTAGGTAAAAGTTAAATTGGGTAATGTAAATTGTGTTTGTATTAGATTTTATAACAGTTGGTTTGTAAAAGTTAGATTGAGTAAAATGTTATTTGGATTATGATTGAATAAAAGTAAGTTTAGGTTATAAAATTATCAAAATGAATATGAGTTTCGTTAAATAATGAGAAAATAATGGAAGGAGTGACAGAAAATTATTATTCTAATATTATTCTAACAATTTTCAACGGTCATAAGCCCGATTGCCACTTGAAAAAGCTACCTCTCCCAACTTCGGTTGGCCTTATTTTTGGCCCCTAAGTGCTGTCTTGTACAAGCTCTTCCAAACAGGCTTATTTTTTCAATCGGGTTTCTGCTCTGCAAAATAAGCTGCTTCTGGCCCATAAATCGTGCTCTCAAACACACACAATGTTAGTGGTCATTGGGTTCCACCTTTCCAGGCCAGTATACTTTTGCTTGCTTCATGCAAATTGGGTCCCGCCTTTCCGACATGGCTTCGAAGTCAGCAGCATTGTCTTTGGTTAGACATTTCAAATGCTGAAATTTCAAATGTGGAAACTATGGGCATCGACATGACTCTTGTCCTCTAAAGAGAATCAACACTGATGCTGTAATGAATAACCAGGCTGTTCAAAATCCCAGTTCGAATGATCAAGGAGCTAAAGAGACTTCATGTATGCAAGATCAATGGAAGGTTGTCCAGAAAACACGCAGACAGAGGAAACCGAAGGAGAAACAAGGAGAAGCATCTAATCACGCTAATTCTGGGTCAAGATTTAATATCTTGATTAATGAGGAAGATAATCAAGAGGAGAAAAAGGATAATGGTGAGACGCACCAGATGAGTACGGAAGATGGTATGACAGCAACAAAGCTGACGAGTACGAGGCAGCAACGTCCACTAAAAACGAGAGCAGGAAAAGAGAAAAAAGGGACCACTGTTACAAAATATGACAAAAAAAAGGAGAGCGAAGGAGTAGCGAGGCCACTACTAACGGACGTGCGTCAGAGTAGCAGAGCAAAAAGAGTGGAAAAAAGAACAAGAGATGCTGATGAGGCTCTTCCGAGGCAGAACGATGAAGTGTTGATGATTACCATGGGTGAGAATAATACGGACGGACAAAATGAAGATATGGAATTTGAGAGAAACGATGTTGATCCGGCTGGTGAAATGGAGACAAGGAGTGGGGAAAAGACAAAAAATTCCCACTCCAACATTCCAATTGACCCGGGTGAAATGGAAATAGCAGAAGAAGGGGATATAAGAATTGGGCCGGTGGATAACAGCCCATATGCAATTTCGTCCCAATCTAGTGAGCAAAGTGGTGATATCATTGTGCCTGAGACCCAAATGGTCTTTGGGCCATGAATGAGCTCCTTCTTTTTTTGACCAATCCTTTTATGGATAAAATTTTTTATTGGAACACAAGAGGATCCAGTGGACCGGGCCTCTTTAGAAATCTTAAAACCTTGCTGAATGGACCAAAGCCTGCTATGGTAATTCTTGCTGAAACGCACTGCACTGACCAGATTCGTTTCCGTCATTTCCATGGTATGGGTTATGATTGCCTCAAAATAATTCCTAGTGAGGGTCGTTCTGGGGGCATCGTTGCAGCTTGGAGAAGTAGCTCTGCGAAAATTACCATTTTAGAGGAAGATCGTCAATTCCTGCATATTGAATGTTCTCTAGAAGGATCTTCGCCTTTTCTCCTTACCGCCATATATGCTCTTCCCCATTCGAATTTTCGACAGCTTTTGTGGGGCAAACTGCGTCTCTTCTCTAGTCAGAATTCGAAGCCTTGGGTTGTTTATGGGGATTTCAACGACATCCTGCACCCAACTGAACGAATTGGAGGAGTCCAAATTAATTTCTCTAGAATTCGTTGGTTCCAGGAACAGATTCATGGCTGTGGATTGTCTGATCTTGGCGCCAATGGTCCAAAGTTTACATGGAAAGGGCCGAAATTTAATAGGTGTTTGCGTCTCTATGAAAGATTGGATAGGGCACTTGCTAATACATGCTTCATATCCTCCTTCACGAGCTGCTCTGTCAAGGTATTGCCAAGAACCCAATTCTCTGATCATAATCCTCTTGTTTTATCCTTGGGTTCTCTTTCTTCTACTGTTACGGTGAATCGCCCATTTCGGTTTGAAGCGATGTGGTTATCGCATGATTCTTTCTCTGATTTCTTAAAAGGTAATTGGACCCCCTTAGGAGATATTAGTGATAATTTGGAACATTTTAGTAAGGAGGTGCAGAGTTGGAATAAGGAAGTGTTCGGTATGGTAGAAAAGAGGAAGAGGAATATCATGGCTAGACTTAATGGAATTCAAAACTCTTCGTCTTATCCTTTCTCTAGTTTTTTGTGCCAACTGGAGGTTAATCTTCAACAAGAATTAGATGAAGTTATGAAATTAGAGGAATTAAAATGGTTCCAAAAATCTAGAACGGATTGGGTTGCTAAAGGTGATAGAAATACTAGATACTATCATCTTAAGACAACTATGAGAAGAAGGCGAAATAAGGTTCTCACCTTGAAGGATAATTCTGGTAGTTGGGTTGAAGATGAACAGCTTTTGAAGAGTCTCGTGACTGATTATTTCAAGAAACTCTTTCAGTCAGAGGGGCAGAATCAGATAAATTTAAAGACTGAGACAACTTTTCCCAGGATTGATTCTGCTAGAATGAGAAATTTATGTGCTGTTCCAACAGGTCAGGAAATTCATGATGCTCTCTTTTCTATGGGTCCGTATAAGGTACCAGGGGTTGATGGTTTCTCCCCTATTTTTTTCCAAGCTAACTGGTCAGTTGTGGGACCATCTTTATGTCAATTTGTCCAAGAGGTTTTTGCTGGGAAACAGACAGTGGAGGAAGCTAACAAGACCTTGATATCTCTCATTCCTAAGAGGGATCAACCACAAATAGTAGAGCACTTCAGACCTATATCTTTGTGCTCTGTTCATTACAAGTGTATCTCTAAGGTGATTACTCTTAGATTAAAGAGTATTATGGATGATCTCATTTCTCCTTTTCAAGCTGGGTTTATTCCGGGTCGACATATACAAGACAACATTATAGTGGGGCAGGAGATCCTTCATACGATGCGAAAAGCAAGAGGAAGAAGAGGACTCATGGCTCTAAAAATAGATCTTGAAAAAGCCTATGATAGACTCAGCTGGAAGTTCCTACAGCAAGTTCTTCAAGATGCAGGAATGGATGATAATTTTGTTAATCTTATTATGCACTGTGTTTCTAGCACTTCTTATAATGTTTTGTGGAATGGGGCTAAGACAGACTTTTTTATACCTCAAAGAGGTCTCCGCCAAGGAGACCCCATTTCACCATTTTTGTTTGTGTTGTGTATGGACAGGTTATCACATCTAATCAATGATGCTGTCAATCAAAGTAGATGGCGTCCCATCAGAGTTACTAAGAATGGACCTAACATCTCTCACTTGATGTTCGCTGACGACTTGCTACTCTTTGGAGAAGCGACGGAACACCAAGCAATCTGTATGATGGAATGCTTAGACCGTTTTTGTGCTGTGTCAGGCGAGAAAGTTAACAAGGCGAAGTCTTCTGTTTTCTTCTCTCCCAAAGTGACTACTTCGATGAGGGGAAGATTAAAGGAAATTACAGGAATGAAAATCTCCTCTGAAATTGGGAGATATCTCGGATTTCCTCTTACTGAAAATAGGAGGAATAAAGAAAATTTTCAGTACATTGTGGACAGAGTCAAATCTAAATTGTCTTCTTGGAAAGCTGATTGTCTTTCTACAGCAGGGAGGATCACTTTAGCTAAATCAGTTTTGAATACTATTCCCTTCTATCCAATGCAAGTTGCCAAGATTCCTGCAAGCATTTGTAATGACATAGAAGCTATACAGCGCAATTTCATTTGGGGAAGTACTCAGGAGCACAGAAAATTTCATCCAATAGGGTGGGAGCAAATTGTTTTGCCAAGGAATTATGGAGGACTTGGTTTTAAAAGGCTGTCCCTCATGAATAAAGCCTTCGGAGCTAAGTTAGCTTGGAACTTGGTGGCTGGATCAAACAGCTTGTGGGCTCAAATTTTGCAGCATAAATACATGATGAGGAGCGAGGATACTCTTTTAAATGTGCAGCAAGGAGACTCTAAGCTTTGGAAGTTTATCTGTCAACAAAAAGACATCATTGATCAAGGTACCAGATGGCAAATTCGAAATGGTCAGTTCGTGAATTTCTTTAACCACTGTTGGCTCTTTAAGGAAAGAAAAATTAAAGATCTTTGTCTTCGAGAGCTATCACCGGAAGAGGAAATCAGTACGGTCGCTGATTGGGTTTCTCATGGTGCTTGGGATTTTACCCGGCTAGCCAACATTGTCAATAGAGAAGTAATACAGCAGTTAATTGCAACTCTTCCACCTATCACAGAAGCAGGAAATGATGTCATGTTATGGAATGCTCACTCTCATGGTAACTTTACTGTGAAAAGTACTTACCATATGCTACAGCAGCTTCCAACCAATCTCCATAGCCCTGTTTATAAGGCTATTTGGAAATGGAAAGGAGCTGAAAGAATCAGAGTTTTCTTATGGATTTCTTTTCAAAATAGACTTCCTACAAACCAGTGGAGAAGTAGATGGTCTCAATCATCACCAATGTGCTCCTTTTGTCAAGTTGAAGTAGAAGATATGATGCATATCCTTAGAGATTGTATTTATGCTAGAAAATTATGGATGAATTTATTAAACCCAAACTTTCATTCACAATTTTTTGCTGCCTCTAGTAAAGATTGGTTTGCCATGAATCTTAAAAAAGAACTTGGCCTAAATTCCACACCTCCCTGGAATTTGCTGTGGGGAGTCGCTACTTGGCACTTATGGAGATGGAGAAACAGCTTTATTTTTGAAGCTAATTTTGCAAAACCAGAGAACCCAGCTGCTGTTATTACAAACTGTTGGAAGAGTTTTGTGCAGAGTAATGACATACCTTGTACACAACAACCCCTTTCTCAACGGGCTTACACAAGGTGGCTACCCCCCCAACCTGGTTGGTTGAAATTGAATGTAGATGGTGCTGTCTCATCAACTAGATCTAAAGCTGGTTGTGGTGGAATAATTAGAGATCATAATGGATCTTGGATTGTGGGCTTCACACGCACTTTGGGCAATTGTGATATCCTCGCTGCGGAAGAATGGGCTATGTTAAGAGGTTTGGAATTGGCCTGGGATTTCGGCTTCAGAAGAATCATTTTAGAATCAGATTCAAAAATTTTGGTGGAAAAGGTGCAAACCAAAGATACAATCAATAGTAGCAGCCTTCCTCTCTTTCAGATTTGGAAATTGCTCAATCTCATGTGGGAGGTGCAGGTGACTCACGTTTTCAGGGAACAAAATCAGCTAGCTGATGCTCTAGCTAAGCAAGGACTTTCCTCTAATTCTATCTTAGACTCTTGTCCTTCTTATCTGGGAACTTTGCTGTCCAATGATTGTATGGGATTTAATTCCCCTTTTGACTCTTTAATTTAAATTTGGGCTCAGCCCTCGTTCTTACCAAAAAAAAAAAAAAATGCTGAAATTTCTGACACAATCCCAAATTGGTTTTGGGATCTTCCTTCGGAAAACTTAAATATTCCGCACGATCAGATTATTGGCACGATTCCAAATTTCCCGGTACTACTACACCTTACCGTGGAAATGTATCTGAGCTCAAATTTGTTTGAAGGTCCAATTCCGCCCAATTTATAGAAACTAGTATCATTGGATTTATCTAATAATAGATTTTCAGATGCTACTGATTTCTTGGGCCCAAATGAGACAGTACATTTAACTTTTCTAGATATCTCAAATAATCAATTGTCTGGAGCCCTTCCTGATTGCTGGAAATGATCTTCTTCAGTGTCGCAAATAATAGATTCTTTGGAGAGATTCCTGATTCATTGGGTACCCTGAGACAAATTCGAGCATTTTATTTTGCAAACAAAAAATTTCCAGGTGAAATACCATCCACTTTTGAAAAACTGCACTTTGCTCAAAATATTTGATGTTGCCGAAAACAATTTCTCTGGATTATTTCCAAGTTGGATTGGAGATGCACTGAGAATGTTGCGTGTACTTATTCTAAGGTCCAATATGTTTTCTGCCCTCCAATATTTGCCATCTTCCTCAAGTTCAAATTCTTGATCTCTCCATGAACAACATCTCAGGTAGTGTACCCAAATGCCTCAACAATCTCTCTGCTTTGGCGGATAAAACAAACTATATATGATGTAGATACAAGTTATTCGGTTTTAGATAATGAACTCCGTGGTCTTAAAGGAGTAGTGGTAGTGGTTGGGCTTTTAGTCAATGATTTATTCGAAGATAGTGCATCACTGGTGCGGAAAG